AAGTTCTTCGTGTAGTGTCGTTTAAATTGGTACCAGTCAGTAAATAGATTGTTTTGAGAATAAGGTTGAGAATCGAATATAAATAAATGAAGTAGCATAGAATTTTGATCAAACCGGCTTAATGGGAAATTATTCATCACAAATTATTGTTTTGATTCCAAATATTGCAAAGAAATATAAAAAGAAATGTGAAAATGTATAGCATGTAAATAAATATAAATTGGAGAAGATAATGTATTTATACATTTTACAAGTATATAGGATAGCTCAGTGGGCTGTTGCTCAATTTGGAGCAGCCGAAGCTGCGGTTCGATTCCCCGCAGGAGTAAATCTGTACACAAATCCGGGTGATGCTGGCGATTCACCTGTACTTCTATCGCCAAGGGACTCCCTGGCTCAATGCGACAAGCCAGTGGAGCGAGCTTAACCAGTAATGATGAGGATTGTTAAGAAGAAGAAGAAGACATTGCGCAAGTTGCGAATTATATTTTTATGTCATTGTCCTTGTAGATATGATTATCGCATAAATTAAATGTATTTAATTTTAATTTGGATTTTAATTGGAATTTTGTCTATTTGGAATATTAGAATAATGAAGTTTGAATAGAAATAGTAGCCAAGCCCGGCAGGTAAAGCCCTACACTTTTATATTTATTGGAAGCAAAGTAATACAATATATAAAGCAGGTGAAGGTGAAATGAAAGATATAAAGATATAAAAGATATAAATAAGATAAAAAAATCGAAAAATAAATAAATAAATAATAACACTGAGCATAAAATCGAAATTTTTGCCAATTCTTTTAATAATCAGTATTAGCTATTATTATTATTATTAAATAAATTTATTGAAATTAACGTATAGAAAGCAGTTCTTCAATAATAAATAATAAATACTGGTATTTTAGATTGTTTAATGACCTGTTTAATCATTGAAATTTACCATTTATTTAACGAAAAGATAATTAAACGATAAATGAAAATTATGTAATAAATTTTTGCTATGAAGTATTAGTACTCATCATTTCTGGTTTGGTTCTCTGCACTGTAATGAAAATTTCGACAGAGGGTCGTCACTTAGGGATTAGGGATTTAAGTACCAGAGGATACGACCAGATTTTTGATGACAGATTTGTTTCTGTCGAAGGAATGAACCCTGACGTTCTACTCGATCTTTAATCTAAGCAACAACCACTTTCCTATGCAGTTTCTAATTGTTTTGATAATTGTTGTACTTATTTTATTGAATAATTTTTTTGATACATCTGGTATTAATAGATTTTATTCATAGAATTTGGAAGCAATTTTGTTTGCATCTGTCTTCGAAAAATTTGACCATCTGCTGACTGAAATTTTAAAAAATTCTTCGAAATTTTATTTATATTTTGTGTTGGTTGATTATGCGGAATTTCTCTCTTTCTGACTTAAATTAAGATATTTTAAGATATTTTTCTATAATTTAACTTTCTAATATTATTTCCGAGGCGATTTGGCAAAGCAATGGTCATTAGAAGAAAAATATGGTCGAATGTTGCCTTGAATGAGATCAAGTGCGAGATGTCATCAAACGGCGAATGCAAAAGCTAGGGGGTCAATAATTCAGTTCAACTCGATTCAGCTCAACTCAATGATTCCATTCAACTCAGTCACCTTAACTTCAACAGATCAATCAATAATTCATCTCATAAAGATCTCAGTATCCGTGGCAGAAGCACAATTAAACAAAAATAAATAAACAAAAGGTTTCATGAAGTAGTCTTGGCGACGCTGTGAATGTGTCAGTGAATTCCAGAAGTGCTGCTGCTCTGCTTGTAGTTCAGTCACGAAATAACTCACTGGTGAAAGAGTCACAGTAGTAATGAATGAAGCCAACTAGGATTGAGGAATATTCTTTAAGGGAATATTTTTTAAGGAATAATCGTCATTAAAATAATTGAATAGCCAGCGAAATAATTAACAGTTTTAGCAAAAAATTTTTCGCCACCTAATAAGTCGAAATTGGAACTAATTTGAAGAAATTTGTAAAATAGAAAATTGGTTTATCTTTTCAGATTTCATTAACATTTCGTTTGTTTACAACTGTGCTCAATTGACTCAAAAGGAACTAGGTTAGGTAAAATTTAAACGTAAGGTGAGCACAGTTTATAAAATGCAAACATTTGATTTTAAAATGCAATTTTAAAGGTTTTTGACGAAAAAGTAAAAGATAAAGAATTCAAATTTAAGTTTCAACCTTTATTTTTAAATTAACACTAAAAGCAACGTAGTTTCCAATGAAATGCTTTATTTGAGCAACGAATATTCAAATTGGCCTTAAAATAAGGAGCTGAAATACATTCCAATCTATGCATTGCTCACCAATTTTTTGACGCGTTCTATACCTAAACCCGTTTTACTTTACGCGAATAAATATTAGTTGACAGAATATCCGAAAGAATAGTTCCAACTTTATTTTTTTTCCTTCTCTATTCTTCCATACAAAAAAAGTGGTCTAATTGGTATCGAGTTCCTCTATTTATTATAGGTACACATTTTAAATTAAAAAAGAAACTAATTAGTTGGTGCTCATCATTTATGGTTAGGCTAACCCCGTTGGATGTTAATGTGTTCGCCAAAGAGTCATTTAGAACCCCAGACGGTTCACCATTAGCACCTGGATTTCTTAACGATACCTTTGCTCTTATCAGCGCCAAGAAATAAGATCTTTGGTTCTCGGCATAGATCGAAATAACCGTATATTCTACCATCCCAATTCAGTAAACAATTCAATAAATAATTTTTTCTCTTGGAAAAATAATTTAAGAAATGAAGATAATGATATATCTTTTTGTAAATTCATATATTGGCATATTTCTTTGAAATTTATATCGATAAATGGAACAAAAATGTGCAAGGAATTACTGAAAATTTTAATTCATTACATTGTTTTTTCTTTGTTTTTTTTGTGAAATTTTTAGGTTATTTTTTGGAATTAATTTCAAAGGTTTCTTTTGGTATTGAACTTATTTATTCTTCCCTGATCCTCGTTGACGATGTCTTCTGATCAAGCGTTAGCATAATTTGGCAATTTCTAATTGTTTATGCATGCAATCAATTTAGGAATATTGGAATGAATAAGCTAATAAAATTATTTCTTGGGATCGACAGATCGAAATTGTTATGGAATTAAAATGGGAAGATGGATTGAAACAAGTAATAAAAATTAAAATCAATATGAAGCAGGTGGTGCTGGCGACCCTACTTCTATCGCCATGTGTCTCCCTAGCAAAAATTTTTCACCTTGCTAACAGCCAGCGAAGTGCACCTAACCAGAAATGCTGAGCGCTTGTCATTTACTTATTTTTTTACTTATTGAAAACATTAGTATTGAACTGCTAATTCGCAAATTGTTTTTTATAATTTTTTGATTTAAATTTGGTTTTATTCTTAGTAATCAATTCGATAATATATTTAATAATTTTATTGTTTTGTCTGCATAAAAATTTTGTAAATTTTTGATAGACCTTTTGAAGTGCTAGCTTGACCTTCAAAATTTGACTTATGAACGTGACATTTCGTACTTTCACTTCAATGGTTTCTCATACCTTTCTAATGCATGGAGTGTCTTTTGCTGACAGTTATGACCTTCAGTCGTGTATTTTCTAAGGTTCTTAAAGTTTCGGCCACATAATTCAATTATAAAGGGCTTATAACCTCATTATTATACAAAATCAGTCAAACTGGAGGTCATTCTTGGTAAAACATAGCAGGATATGACCTTTGACCTTTCGTTCGTTATTGATTAAGAAGACTTCATATGCTTCCAGCTATGTAGGCCAAAAATGAATGTATTGTCAGATGAAATAGCATCCAAATGAAGTAAATCATTTTGATTTAATTGTTCAGAGGTTCCCATTATTTTCCATTTAAGCCAAGCAGGATCTTATTTTAACATATCCGACCAAATCTCTTTTTCGTATAGTCTGCTTGACAAAACTCTATTAGTCTGTTCTAGATTGAAGTGTTAGCTTGACCTTCAAAATTTGACAATTTGACTTATGAACGTGACATTTCGTACTTTCTATGAATGCCCAATTATTTATTATTGGACAATCACTGATAAGTTGCCCAATTTTATCATTTCATTAATAGCGTCATTTCTTCTATTCATTAAGGAGAAAAAATATTCTGTTCTAACTTTTTATTTCTTTTCTGTTATTCTTTTATTTTTTTTCTATTTGTTCTAAAATAAATGATTAACGAGCATTCCTAATCGATCTTTAATTTAAAAATTTAAAGTTGCGAATAATTCAAAAACTATTGATAAGTGGTATTATTGAGTGAGTTGAGTGAGATTTAACAATTAAATATTACTTCATGTCATTTATGATTATCCACACGTGGGCGATTAGAGAGTAGAATGGCTCAGTGGGTTGTTGCTCAGTTCGAGCGTCGACGCTGAGGTTCCACCCGCAGAAATAAACCTGTCCAAAAACCCGGGTGATGGTGGGTAACTCACCTATAAGAGATTCACTGACCTATTCGTCAAGTACGACAAGCCAACGCAGCGAGTCTAACCAGCAATGGTGAGGGCTCTTAAAAAAACGTGTAAGCGATCTTTGAACCACTGGCTAATGAGTTTGTTACTTGTTGATAAATTATAACTTGCTTATGTTAAAGGATAAGATTTTTGCGAATTAGATATGAAATTTAGATTGGTAATACACTAATACTTAACTCCTTCAATATAAATTCATTTAATTATTATCAAAAATGTTTTTGTTAATCTTTTTTATTTAAAAGAATTTGGTTGTTTGACCTTTTAACATGATTGCTCAAACTACCAGTGAAAGGCATAGAAGAAAGTGATATTTTTTAAAATAATAATTTCATCCTTGATAAAACCTTATCGAACAATATTTATGAAATATTATATTATTATTGTTTTACTGTGGTTTCATACTGTTTTTTAAAAGGTTTACACACTAAAAAATATTAAAAAAAATATTGTACCATTTTCAGATGTATTTGATAACATCATTATTGCCATCACAACAAGATCAACCGCTGATAAATCGGATTTTACCTAAGGAACTCATTCTCAGGTATCATTCTTAGATTTTCCATTGAAATTCGATATTGAAACCACTCTTTATTTTGCTAAAAATTTAGGATATTTTCATTCTTGGATATAACTTCACTTTGCCGATGTGCTCAGACTTGCCGGCACTGGAATCTTTTAGCAATGGATGGTAGTAATTGGCAAGAAGTTGATCTCTTTCAATTTCAAAAGGATATTAAAGTAATTTTAAAGATATCAAAATAATCGAATCTCTTCTTCGCTAAAAAATTATTTCGGATGTATTTTAAGATGTTCATTCTTTGGTTTTTTTTTTCATTATGTAAGACCAATTATGAGCTTCCAAGTTTCAAATTCAGAAAAAAAATGCGAGAGACAATAATATTTTAAAGTAGAAAGTGGATTCAGAGACTCTAATTTTATTCTGCTTTGAGTTAAAAATTATTTTTTGAGCTAAAGAGAAACTGACTGTTCAAATTTTTCAATAGTTCATTATCCACTTTATTTTAATTTTTTTGTTTCAATCGAAAGGCAAAATAGCCGAGTGGTTTTGTTTAGACTAACATATGAGCACCATAGCTCGGATTCTTTCTTAGATAGAAGTAAAAATTGATCTCTTTCAAATCTATTATTAAAAAACATGGTGGTAAGAACTCATTTTATTCCAAGTTGATGCCAGTGGAATTAGCTTAATCAAAAGTAATGCTAATCACACCTTTACTTCTAGTAAGTTGTTATTGCTCTCATTTGGGAACGAGAATGCTAGTTTTCTACTCCCGATAGGAGTGATTAGAATTGGGTGGTGCTGGTTACCCACATTTTTCTATCAATCCTCGTGTTCTACAAGAAATCTTTGTGGTCGCATTCAGTAATTGCGTACCGTGATCATTTTTCTCGCTTTAAACCAAATTAATTGCTTCTAATTTTGGAATCGATGATTTTTTAAAATTTCAGGGTTCTTTAAAATCTTTACCAGTTCCACAATTATTTTCATTAGTATGCAAGTTGGAGTTCATAATCGCATTACTATATTAATTTCAGGCTCCTGTTGTGGAGAATTTGGCTAAACGTTGCGGAGGATTTTTAAAAAAATTAAGTTTACGTGGTTGTGAAAATGTTCAGGAAGCGGCACTTCGATCCTTCACTGTAAAATGTCCAAATATTGAAGAACTATCCTTACATAAATGCAAACGAGTAACTGACTTGTGAGTTTTGATGCGTTAATTCTCATTGCTTATCATCTTACTAGTGTTGCTTCAATGTTGAAGAAATTTCCTATTGCAGAACTTGCGACTATCTTGGAAGGAATTGCCATAAATTAAAATGGTTGGATTTGGAAAATTGCACGGCCATCACCGACAAAGCAATGAAAGCGATTAGGTATATTTATTTATTTTTATTTAAGATCAAATTTCATCGATGATTTTTTGTAAATCTTCAAATTATTATTCATTTTGGCGGGTCTAGGGACCACATCTTCATTTTCTATCCTTAAATGATTCTCAGACGGTCTGTTCCTTATAGCCAGTGGAAGAAACCTAACCAAAAATGATGATGTGGAATAAATTGGTCTTATGAATTTTTTTTTGCTGAAGTTTTCGTTAATTGAATATTTAAAATATAAAACATCGTTAAGTTTTGGAAAATAGTTGATGAGGATTCTAAAATTAAGGATTCTTAAGGGATTATTTTTTCGCGATTAAATTATATAGTTTCAGTGAAGGTTGTAAGAAATTGGAATACTTAAATGTAAGTTGGTGCGAAAATATACAAGATTCAGGGATTCAGTCAATACTTCTACAATGTTCAGTACTTAATACACTAATCTGTAAAGGATGTGAAGGAGTAAATTATTTTTTCCTCAAAATTAGAAATATTTTTAGATTACATGGATTTCAATTCTTCATTTAAGTAAAATCAACTATACATTTTCACAAAAATCTTGAAAATTGCAATCATATTCGTACCTTTCTTTCCTCCACTCATGGGAATTACAGTTAACGGAGAACATTTTCGCAGACATGAAGGAATATTGTAAAGAACTGCGAAATTTGAATCTTTTGGGTTGTTTCGTTGTTGACGATACTGTTACTGATATAGCAGTTGGTTGTCCACAGCTTGAATATTTATGCCTCTCGATGTGTCCTCAGATTACTGATCGAGCACTCATTGCTCTCGCGAATAGTTGTCGAAAGCTGAGGTAATTTTTTTTTGCTTGACTAAAACATTGGTAATTAGATGTTTTATCTAAGTTGTTCATCTGGGAACTCATCTTTCATTCTTTTTTCATCCCTAAATGTATAGTGACTCTTTGGCGGATTTGTTCACTCCAGTCATTCTGCAATCGAATCCACATACTCAGACTTTACTGCTTCCATTAGTTAAATCAAGTAAAAATCTTGGCGAATTTGAGGATTTATCATAAATTGATGCATACAAGCTTTTCATTAGGCTATCTATTTTCCCACTTTTATTTATTGAAAACCAGCCAAGCAGGGCGACAAACGCCATGTGTTTTCATTAATAACAATAGGTAAAATAATAATAATTAATGATAAAAAAAAAAAGAAAATATGACAAGAATTAACAATTTAAAGATGAAAGATGAAATAAAGAGGAAATAACAAAATAATATTATATAGTACAATTCGAAGTAACTATATTATATATAATCTGATGGTGA